CTGACAGCTGCCATCTTATACTGCCCAGGTGGATGGCTACCTCTAAAAGCAGGAAGTCGATCTTGGTTTACTTCCCATACCATCTAGTAGTGCAGTGTTTCCCAAACTTGACAATTTTAAGGCATGAGGACTTCAACTCCCAGAATTCCACAGCCAGCAATGCTGGCTGTGGAATTCTGGGAGTTGAAGTCCACATGCCTTAAAATTGTCAAGTTTGGGAAACACTGTAGTAGTGCAAATGAACTGAGAATTCTAAGCAGCAACAAGGTGTATGGATTGTATTCATACAACATGCTAACTAAGCTAAGGTTTTTATAAAAAAAAAAAAACCACACACAAAATTATGATGCCCCACAACACGCATTCTACAAACGCAACCGCGTACTCTAATTTTGGCCTAATTAAATAATCCTGGCTGCAACAGGGCTGCAACATTCCAGCTGATCGGCGCTTCTTCTGGGCTCAGCAGAAGCGCCAGAATCGGTGCTGCTTTTCAGCTGATTGGTGCTTCTTCAGGGCTCAGCAGAAGCACCAGGATTAGTGCCGAGCTCCAGCTGGAGCCTGGCGCTGAGCCTGGCGCTGAGCCTGGTGCTTCCGCTGACCCCTGACAGTCCCGAAGCGCCGATCAGCTGGAAAGCGGCACTGATCCTGGCGCTTCCACTGAGCCCTGACAGCCCCGAAGAAGCACTGATCCCGGGGCTTCCGCTGAGCCCTGACAGCCCTGCAGCTCCAGCCGTCTCTCGCTCAGACTTGTGCGGTGCTGCCACCGGTTCAGCTCACTCCCCTCCCCCACTACCACTTTTCTAGGATGGTCGCGTACCACCTGCCAGGTGCCAATGGGCCACAGGTGGTACCCGGACCACTGGTTGAAAAGCCCTGCCCTAGATCAGCGGTTTGCCGCTTGGCGGCCCGGCTAGGGGGAGGATAAGGGGAACGGCACACACGCGCACTCATGCACAGCCCAAGTGGTGCGGAGGGCCAGCATGTGCACACATGCGCACGCAGCTTAACTTGGGCAAGCTGAACTGCATGCGTGTGCAAGTGTGCCAGCCTGCCGCTCACACAAGCTGAGCTGTGCAGACATGCATGCGCGCAAGCCCACCAGTTCCAAGTAGGCCAGGGCCCCTGTCATAGATCAGGGGTCCCCAAACCCTGGACATGGATCAGTGGAACAGCTTGCCACTAGATGTTGCAGGTGTCCCATCACTGGAGGTTTTCAAGAAGAGACTGGACAGCCATCTTGTCGGAAATGGTGTAGGATCTCCTGCTTGAGCAGGGGGTTGGACTAGAAGACCTCAGAGGTCCCTTCAGCTCTGTTATTGATATCCAGGCTTGAAGACCCCCACTGGATCCCCTTCTAGGTGTTTTGAGGCAGAACCCCTAAGGCAGGGGTCCCCAACCCTTGGGCCATGGACCAGTACCGGGCTACAGCATGTCAGTAACCGGGCCGGACAAACAAGCATAGCCCCATCCGTGGGATGTAGGCAGCACACAAAACCACGCACTCTCCTGTCCATGGAAAACCCTCTCTCCACGGAACCGGTCCCTGGTGCCCAAAAGGTTGGGGGCCTCTGTTTTAAAGCAGTGGTCCCCAACCCCTGGTTCGTAGACCAGTACCGGGCCGCAGCACGCCAGCAACCGGTCCACACAAACAAGGAAAGCCCCATCCGTGGGATGCAGGCAGCACACAAAACCACGCACCCTCTGGTCCGTGGAAAACCCTCTCTCCACGGAATCGGTCCCTGGTGCCCGAAAGGTTGGGGGTCTCTGTCCTAGATCCCCTCTAACTGACCCATAGAACCCAAATAAAACATAACTGTAAGCAGAGACCTTGAACGGGCTCTGCCGACGTCCCCTTTCAGCCCAGCAGATTGCTTTGGGACCGTTATGAAACCAGCCAGGGAGGGTGGATCATCTCCTCCCTTAGGAAAGATCGCCAATGACACGGCAGGTCACGGACGTCACCGTCCGCCTTCTGTCCTTCCTGACCGAGAGGGCCTGGCGAACGTCCAGCTCTTTGTTTGCCTCCGAACAGATGTTACAATTCTTTGGGACGGATTTGGCTCCAGGGCTGATCTCTTGGCTGGCCCCGCCGAAAAAGGAACGCCGCGCGGGATCCCAAAAACAAAGGACGTAAACACGCATTTTGCAGAAAACAAACCCATGTGTTCTGAGAATTTGTCCTGGCGAGAGTGGACGGGGAGGGGGGATTAACTGCTTTCCAAGAAGCCGGCCTCAAAGGCAGTTTTTCACCCAGATAAATAGCCGAAGACTAACACACACAAAATAGAAAAATGGTTCAGGTAGCTGATGCTGAGTTACCTGGGATCGAACGCAGGGAAGAACAAGCAAGACGATTAAAGGCCCGGAGACTTAAAACATAGGAAGAACGGCTGCAGGAACCGGGAATGGCTAGTTCTAGAGCAGTACTTCTCAACCTTTTGAATGCCGCGAGCCCCAACCGGTCGTAAGTCGAGGACTACTCAACCGGTCGTAAGTCGAGGACTACTCAACTGGTGCAGCACCGTTGGCAGAACGGGACTTTTGGTGGGCTCAGCAGGGCAGAGACAGCCTGGACAATTCCTATGGGCTTTTGAAAGCCAATAGAATTAGACTCTATTCAAGAGAGTCTCTTCTATTGGCTCTCAAAAGCCAATAGAATAAGAGGGAGTAGCACAGCTAAGGAAAAGGGGGGAAAAAATGGCGGACTGCGTTGTTTGGCGACCCCCGTGAAATGGTCGTTCGACCCCAAATGGGGTCCCGACCCACAGGTTGAGAACCGCTGTTCTAGAGAAAAGAAAGACTAGGGGGGACATAACAGCCGTCTTCCAATCTCTCAGGGGCTGCCCCAAAGAAGAGGGAGTCAAGCTATTCTCCAAGGCCCCTGAGGGCAGGACAAGAAGCAATGGATGGAAACGGATCCAGGAGAGAAGCAACCTGGAATTAAGGAGAAACTTCCTAACAGGGAGGACAATGAACCAGTGGAACAGCCGGCCTTCTGGAATTATGGATGCTCCCTCAATGGAAGTTTCTAAGAAAAAAACTGGACAGCCATCTGTCTGAAATGATAAATGCTTTGGCAGGGGGGGTTGACTAGACTAGAAGACCTCCAAGGTCCCTTCCAGTTCAATTCTGGTCTAATTAAAGCTACAACCTGAAAGACGTTTGCTGAAAAACAGCCCCTGTTCAACTGAACCAGATCCTTTGCTGAGGAAATACGGCAGAAACGCATGGTTAATAAGCCGTTCTCTGTTCCTTTTCTGAGGCTTATTTTGGCTAGCCCCACCTTAACAAAAAAATCAAAAACCCAGCAGCTTGTCAGATTACAGAGCACTGCAAAATAGCGACACAGATACTCCCTACAGCAAGATACAGTTCTCCAGGTGCAAGCTCAGAGTTAACGCTCCGGAGGCAAAATCAGATGAGCCGAAAAATGCACCCGTACCATCTCAACGTGAAAGCTTCGTGCCACATATTGCTGTGCGCCAGATTCAGAAGGTTAAAAAAAAATCCGTTTTTAGCAGGATTACCAGCAATTATGAATTCCTGTTTTGCTTTTGCTCCTGATTTGAGTTATTTGCTTGTGTGCACAAACACAGTCAGCCACGCTGAGGTGGTGTGCAGATGTGGTTAAATAAATGTTTACCAGTTCCCACCCTTATTTGTTAAGTCTTCTGTCCCTGTTGCATTTATTCATTCATTTGCATGGGATTAGCCTTCCAGACATCTACTCAGAAAGCAGTAAATGCCTTGGATCAGACCCTAGTGATGTTTCATTGAACAAGACTTGTGTCCCTTTTTTCAATTCAGCGCTCACAAAAATGGCAACACCCAATGACACCTAGGTGGTATTCTTGGCAACAGTACAGCATACAAGAGGTTTAGCACTGATTTCTCCTGGGGGGGGGTAGTATTTCCAACTGGAGAGCTAGTTTGGTCTACTGCAGGACTGTCAAACTGCTGGCCCACAGGCCAGATGCGTCACGCCGAAACCGCGCCCACTGCATTGCCGGCAATGGGGAAAAAAATTGCGATACGTCATGTGACGTTGCAAGTTTGACACCTTTGGTCTAGTACAGTGGTTCTCAACCTGTGGGTCGGGACCCCATTTGGGGTCGAATGACCATTTCACGGGGGTTGCCAAACAACGCAGTCCACCATTTTTTCCCCCTTTTCCTTAGCTGTGCTGCTCCCTTTTATTCTATTGGCTTTTGAAAGCCAATAGAATAGACTCTCTTGAATAAAGTCTCATTCTATTGGCTTTCAAAAGCCAACAGGAATTGTCCAGGCCGTTTCTGCCCTGCTGAGCCCGCCAAAAGTCCCCTTCTGCAAACGGTGCTGCACCCGTTGAGTAGTCCTCGACTTAGGACCAGTTGGGGGTCGCGGCATTAAAAAGGTTGAAAACCACTGGTCTAGTAGTTAAGGCACCAGCCTAGAAACTGGGAGATGGTGAGTTCTAGTCCCACCTTAGGCATGAAAGCCAGCTGGGTGACTCTGGGCCAGTCACCCAAATTCTAGTCCTATCTTATGCACAAAAGCTGGTTGGTTGACTTTGAGTCAATCACCAGGAGACGGCGAGTTCTAGTCCCGCCTTAGGCATGAGACCTGGTTGATTGACTTTGAGTCAATCACCAGGAGACGGTGAGTTCTAGTCCCGCCTTAGGCATGAAACTTGGTTGACTTTGAGTCAATCACCCGGAGACGGTGAGTTCTAGTCCCGCCTTAGCATGAAACCTGGTTGGTTGAATTTGAGTCAATCACCAGGAGACGGTGAGTTCTAGTCCTGCCTTAGGCATGAAACCTGGTTGGTTGACTTTGAGTCAATCACCAGCAGATGGTGAGTTCTAGTCCCACCTTAGGCGTGAAACTTGGTTGACTTTGAGTCAATCACCAGGAGACAGTGAGTCCTAGACCAGCCTTAGGCATGAAACATGGTTGGCTGACTTTGAGTCAATCACCCCCAGGAGATGGTGAGTTCTAGTCCCGCCATAGGCTTAAAATCCAGCTGGGTGACTTTAAGCCAATCATTCTCCGTCAGGCCAACACACTTCACAGGGTTGTTGTCGGGAAAACAGGAAGAGACACGTGTGCTAGATATGTTCACCGCCTGGAGCTATTTGATCGAATAATACAGGCAGGATACAATAAGATAAATAATAACTTACAGTCTAACCTACACCCCTGGTGGTGCCGCAGGCAAGGGGTGAGGCCCATCACTGCTTAGGCACCCAGTTCCAGAAAAGATCAGCCAGGCACCTCTCTTTAAATGCCCCTTCCATTCCTCACTCCCTGCCCTCCAACTAAACGGAATCTTTTTCCAGAGCGGAGAGAAAAGGGCAATAGGGCATTTCCTATGCAGCTGCCCCTCTGCACGTCCCTCAGAAGCCCTGCTCCTTCTCTCCTCCCAACAGACCAAAGACAAAAGCCTCTTTCTTTCCGACCCAAACTCCCTGAGATTGTTTTTTTTAAAAAAAAAAAAAAAAGTAGGAATATTCTTTTATTGGCCAAATATGATTGGACACACAAGGAATTTGTCTCCAACGCATAAGCTCTCCGTGTATATGCAAAGCAACAAAGTGATACAGGTCATACATCCTAAATCAGAAGATACAGGTAGCCCTCGACTTGCGACCACAAGAGGCTAAGTGAGAAATGGATCTGAGTTCTGCCCCATTTTACGACTCGTCACCCTTTGTTAAGCGAATCACCCGGTGGGCGTTAAATTAGTCACAGGGTTGTAAAGCAAGTCTGGCTTTCCCCCCATTGACTTTGCTTCTCTGAAAAGGCGACCACATGACCCCGGGACACTGCCACCGTCATAAAGACGAGTCAGTAGTCCAGCCTCCGAACGTAAATCACGCGACCCCGGGGATGCCTCGACGGTCGTTAAGTGTGAAAAACCCTCAGGGGTCCCTTTTTTAAAAAAAAACTCCGGACGGTCGCTGAGCGGTTGTAAGTCGAGGACTGCCTGTGGGACGGTCACCAAGTGAACGGTTGTAAGTCGAGGACGACCTGTGCGATCCCAAAACAGAATTAAATCATTCAAAAAAAAAACTCCCAAACTTCACCTGAACTGACACCTTTTCAGAGCAGAAAAACAACCCAGCCTATGAGTAACGGGGTGTGGGTCAGTCCTACAGGCCCCAACACAAAACTGTGCCAAGGTGTGGAGAACACACATATACACACACACCTCTGGGGGGGGGTGTAGCTGGAGAGGGAGGCTGAAGGGCATCAACCGCCCAGGGTCACCCCGAGGTGCCCCTTCCTCCTCCTCCCAGCCCGCAGCCTCCATTTTGCAAGCGGGGGAAGGAAGAAGAGGCGAAAGGAAGGCAGGAGAGATGGATGGATGAATGAATGAATGAATGGAGGCAGCCAGGAAGCAATGAATGGGCTCTGCAGCTGTCAAGGCAGGAGGGAGGGGGAGGACGGTGGCGGGAAGAGGACAAAATACCGAAAAACACACGAGCGGCGCCGGGGCGGGGAGGGAGGGGGAGAGAGAAGGGGGGGGACTCCGAGCGCGCGCCGCGCCTGCGCAGTAGCCGCCGCGCGTGAGGAGCAGCAGCAAGGCAGCACCATCACCACCAACGGCGCGATTTCCCCCTCACGCCGGCGGGCAACTCACCGAGGCGCAGGGGCTGGAGGTGGCGCTGGGGGTAGGCGAGCGCTGCACCGTCACCAGAGCCATCGGGGCGCGGCGGGGCCTGCCAAGAAGCCCCCCTCTGTGGTTATTCCATGGCGGGCGAGCGAGAGGAAGGGCGGCCCGAGCGGGAGCGCGAAAGCGGCAGCGGCGATGGCGGCCTCCCCCGCCAACGCTCGCTCGCCGACTGAGGCGCGGCGGGGTTGGGCCGGCCGGGCACAATGAGGCGGCAGCGCGCATGCGTCACCTGTCAAGCCGCCGGGCCGGCCGTCCCTCCCTCCGGGCCCGCCCCTCGCTCGTTCGACACGCCCCCTCCGCCGCGGCCCCGCCTCCTGCGGCTGCGGTTAACTCTTGCGCGCCCGCTTCGGAGGAGGAGCCGATCCGCGGGAGGCGTCTTCCTTTGTGTGTGTTTGTGTGTGTGTGTCGGTATCTGTCTGTGTCTGTGTGTGCTGTTTGTGTGTCTGTATGTCTTTGTGTGTCTGTGTATGTCTGTGGGTGTGTGTCTTTGTGTGGGTGGGTGTCTGTGTATATCTCTGTATATCTGGGTGTGTATGTGTATGTCTGTGTGTCTGTGTATGCCTGTTTGTGTATATGTATGTGTGTGTCTGTGTATATGTCTCTGTGTGTGTCTGTGTTTGTGTGTGTTTGTGTGTCTGTGTTTGTGTGTGTTTGTGTTTGTGCTGTTTGTGTGTCTATGTGTGCTGTTTGTGTGTCTGTATGTGTGCTGTTTGTGTGTCTGTATGTCTATGTGTGTTTGTGTATGTCTGTGGGTGGGTGTCTTTGTGTGGGTCTGTGAGTGGGTGTCTGTGTATACCACTGTATATCTGTGTGTGTCTGTGTATGCCTGTCTGTTTGTGTATATGTCTGTGTGTATGTATGTGTGTCTGTGTATGCCTGTCTGTTTGTGTATATGTCTGTGTGTATGTGTATATGTCTGTGTGTGTGTCTGTATATCTGTGTGTGTGTGTGTGTCTGTATGTGTTTGTGTGTCTGTGTGTGTCTGTGTGTCTGTGTTGCTGGAACAACCCCACTAACATCAGAGACCAGCTACCAAGCCTTGCTTGGAATGCTGGGAGTTGTAGTCGTTACCCAGCTGGACTAACTTGGGGTTCCATTTTCAACATAGGCTGGCAGAAGCAGAGGGACTGGCTGGGTTCCCCCCAGGTAGCTGAGGCTGCAGAAGCCTGGACTGCCAGCCCAGAAGAAGCCTCGGCCCCTAGCAGTGCTTGTCACCCACAGCCACTTTAAGACGTGTAGACTTCAACCCCCACAATTCCCCAGCCAGCCATGATATGCTTGCTGGGGAATTCTAGGAGTTGAAGTCGATGCTGAGAGAGAGCAATTTGGTCAGTCAGATAGAGCTAGAAGGGACCTTGGAGGTCATCTAGTCCAGCCCTCTGTTCAAGCAGGAAACGCTACATCATTTCAGACCCACAATTTTTCGAGGGAAGCTGTTCCACTGGTTAATCGTTCTCACGCTCAGGAAATTCTTCCTCCGTATATCCAATATGGCTCTTAGAATATAGCATAACAGAGCTGGAAGGGACCTTGGAGGTCATCTAGTCCAGCCCCCTGCTCAGGCAGGAAACCCTATATCCTTTGAGACAAATGGCTGTCCAGTCTCTTCTTAAAAGCCTCCAGTGATGGAGCACCCACAACTTCTGGTGGCAAGGAGTTCCACTGGTTAATTGTCCCCCCTGTTAGGAAGTTTCTCCTTAATTCCAGGTTGCTTCTCTCCTGGATGAGTTTCCATCTGTTGCTTCTTGTCCTGCCTTCAGGCGCTTTGGACAATAGCTTGACTCCCTCTTCTTCTTTGGGGCAGTCCCTCAAATACTGGAATCCTGCTATTATGTCCTCCCTAGTCCTTCTTTTCTCTAGACTATTGTTGTTGTTGTTAGTTGCAAAGTCGTGTCCGACCCATCGCGACCCCATGGACAGCGTTCCTTCAGGCCTTCCTGTCCTCTACCATCTGCTGGAGTCCATTGAAGCTCACGCCTCCTGCTTCAGGGACTCCATCCAGCCACCTCCTTCTCCGTCGTCCCATTCTTCTCTTGCCCTCCGTCTTTCCTAGCATTAGGCCCTTCTCCAGGGAGTCCTTCCTTCTCATTAGGTCCTTGAGTTTCAACTTCAAGATCTGGCCTTCTAAAGAGCAGTCGGGGTTGATCTCCTCCAGGACTGACCGGTTGGATCGCCTTGCAGTCCAGGGGACTCACAGGAGTCTTCTCCAACACCAGAGTTCAAAGGCCTCCATTCTTTGGCGCTCAGCCTTTCTTACGGTCCAATTTTCACAGCCATCCATTGCACCTGGGAAAACCAGGGCCTTGACTATGTGCACTTTTGTTGGCAGGGTGATGTCTCTGCTTTTTAGTATGCTGTCTAGCCATTCCCAAATCCTGCAACCATTCTTCATATGGTTTAGTCTCCAGGCCTTTAATCGTCTTAGTTGCTCTTCTCTGAAATCTGCCAAAGGAGTAAAGGGTGTCACCCTCCCTAAATTCTCTGTCTGCAGCCCTGACTTTAGGGCACAGCTGATGAAAGAAGCAGAAAGAATTGGCAATTAGGATCATGGCCACTTTGTGGGTTTATAGGGAAGCCTCTTGCAACTACCAGGCAGGCAGGCAGACATTGAACTGGGGAAGTTTTTTCCACCCTGAAGGCAAGCTGTTGGGTTTCTCTGTTGCTCCTTCTGAATGTGACCCAAAAGCCCACCGAATGGTGTTAGCATCCAGAGAGGCAGCTTTCGGGGACAACAGTCTCTTTTGCCCCCAATAAGCTGCCCAGAGTGGCTTGATAGTGACATGGGCGGCATATAAACTTAAATAATAATAATAATAATAATAATAATAATAATAATTATTATTATTATTATTATTATTATTATTATTATTATTATTATTATTATTATTATTATTGATCATCGCACAATCAGCCAGATGTTCAGACTGGATTTGGCATTTTGTCTACCTATCGAGTCCTTACCCAGGACCTGGGATAGGCAGATGTGGATGTTTGATGGTATTACAGATATCGTCGCAGGATGGAAGCAGTTCCTAGTAAGGCCGCCTTTTGCAATTGACTAATAGCGAATTTGTCAATGCCAATGATGTTCAAGTGGTGCTCCAGTTGTTTTGGGATTGCACCCAAGGAGCCTATCACTATTGGTACTACCCTTGCTTGCTTTTGCCACAGTCTTTCTATTTCTATTTGTAGGTCTTTGTATTTTGTTATCTTCTCCAGTTCTTTCTCGTCTATTCTGCTGTCTCCAGGCACTGCCACCTCCACTATCCAGACTTTTTTGTCTTTCTTATCGACAATTGTTAAGTCTGGAGTGTTATGTTGCAGGTGCTTGTCTGTTTGAATTCTGAAGTCCCAGAGCAGTTTAAGTTTATCATTTTCTATTCTCTCTCTCTCTCTCTCCCTCTCCCTCTCCCTCTCCATCACTCTGTCTATCTGTCTAATATGTATGTATATATCTCTCCCCCCTTCTCCCCCCCTCTCCCTCGCTCTCTCCCCTCCCTCTCCATCTCATCTCTCCCTGTCTATCTATCTATCTATCTATCTATCTATCTATCTATCTATCTATCTATCTATCTATCTATCCATTTCTATTTCTACAGTATTTCTGTTCTAGTTCTAGTTCTATTATTTCTAGTTCTGGTTCTGGTTCTTTAAACCAAATTTGCCTGTCAGTGATTGCCTGACCTCTGCAGATACCATACCCGACTAAGCTAAGTGAATGTGGGGAATCCACGCAACTCTGCCCCCTGCTGATCAAAGAGGTCACCAACGTCTCTCAATCTCAAACTTTCAGAGGTGTGGACTTCAACTCCCAGAATGCCTCCGCCAGCTCAGGTAGATCCATCTTACACCGAGGACTACCTGTATTAAGCCCTAGCATCGTCGCTGAACCCCACTGGCGCTAGTCACACCGAAACCTCCTGACTCAAAGAATGAAAGAGCAAAAAAAAAAAAGCTGCTGACACTTTTGGGGTTCTCCATCAGAAAGAGCTGACTGTTTTCAAAGCAAAGTCAAATTAAATGTATAGGGTTCTGCCTCAAATTGGAAGTGTTTCCCTCTGCTTAACTTTGCTGTGTTGGCCTAGGAGCAGGGCAAGAGTTGGTCTCCACCGGTAGTCCTCGGCTTACGGCCCAAAATTTCCATTGCTAAGTGAGGCAGTTGTTAACAGAATAACAGACTTCGAAGGGTCCTTGGAGGTCTTCTAGTCCAACCCCCTGCTCAAGAAGGAGACTCTGTAGAGGTGGCTGTCCAGTCTTTTCTTGAAAGAAACCCCGTGTTGAGTACCCACAACCTCTGGTGGCAACATACCCAATTCCTGCAACCGTTCTTCATATATTTGGGCCTCCAGCCCCCTGATCATCTTTGTTGCTCTTCTCTGTACTCTTTCCAGAGTCTCAACATCCTTTTTTTACATGTAATAATAATAATAATAATAGTAATAATAGTAAAGTTGGAAGGGACTTTGGAGGTCATCTAGTCCAACCCCCTGCTCAGGCAGGAAGCCCTATACCATTTCAGGCAAATGACTTTCCTGTCTTTTCTTAAAACCTTCCAGTGTTGGAGCATTCACAGCTTCTGGAGGCAGGTGGTTCCACTGGTTACTTGTTCTCACTGTCAGGAAATTCCTCCTTAGTTCCGGGTTGCTTCTCTCCTTGCTCAGTTTCCATGATCCTTGACTTATGACAATCCATTTAGTGACCGTTGAAGATTGCAACACTGAAAAAAGGGAATAATAATAATGATGATGATGTTGAACTGGAGAAGATAACAAAATACAAAGACCTACAAATAGAAATAGAAAGACTGTGGCAAAGGCAAGCAAGGGTAGTACCCATAGTCATAGGCGCCTTGGGTGCACTCCCAAAACAACTGGAGCACCACTTGAACACCATCATCGGCATTGACAAATTCGCCATTAGTCAATTGCAAAAGGCGACCTTATTAGGAACTGCTTCCATCCTGCGACGATATCTGTAATACCATCAAACATCCACATC